GGAAGGCGGGGCTGTTGAGCCTAGTAAGTGGGTCCTGTGTGGTGTGGACATTCTCTGGGGTGTGCTGGTTTCTTGGGAGGATGGAAAACAAAGTCATGTTGACAGTGGGGAATGAAGAGGGGACTGGGGCTCAAGGAGGCCAGGGAAGGGGGCTTGAGGAGAGCGGGAGGGGCAGTGTGGAGTTCGTGGTGTGTTCAGAGGGCAGCTAGACCCTCGCAGTGCCTGTGGTTCCTCCCACCGTGGCCAGAGGTGCGGGTGGCTAGGGACACAGTGTCCTGTGCACCAACACTGGGCTTTGCTCACCAAGAACCACAAAGTGCGACGTGACTGGGCCATGAAGAGGGGTGGCAGAAAATGAACTGGGAAGGGCAGGGTGCCAGGGGAGACCTGAGCCTGCACCCGCTTCACCCAGGGGGTGCCGCGGAGGGTGCACAGATGGATGGGCCTTTGTCGCTGCTCAGGGACGCTGTGCAGGAACGGAGAGCCCCTCCTGTCCAGGGCAAAGGCCTGGGCCTGACCTCCTGGCTCCCCCTGGCTCGTCTCCCTCTCTGAGCTGGAACTCTGGTGCATGTCGCCTGCATTTTGTGTGACAGCAACAATACAAGTGCTTGCTTGTTTTTAATTCTGTTCTCCTCTGTAAAGGAGCCACCTGGCTCTGGCAGATCCTTACTGCAACCACCACTGTGAACAGTTCTGGGTTGGAATGTTTGTGCTGATGGCAGATCACCAGGTCACCACAGTGGAGGGTGAACAATGAGCCTGGAAGTGCCGGTTCTAGGACCTCATCAGTCCCCAAGTGCCATTGACTGCGGCTCGCATGGCCGGGCAGGTGACGAGGATGCTTCAGAGGGGATGTGGGGGCCAAGCTTCACTCTGGGCTTGTTGATCACGAGGACCAGGTGGGCAGACCGGCCACCCTGCATGGGGTGGGAAGTGGCCTCCTGCTGGAGAACTGCTTCTCCCAGACAGAGGCAAGGACGGCCACTCAGCGTCCCAGGTCCCAAGCGGTCTCTCCCTGAACTCACGCCTAGTGGTGCCCCCTGTGGGCAGGGTGTGTCCTGATCATCCACGAGGCCAGCTGGTCAGGAGCAGCCGCCAGGAGCCCCACGTGCTCCCCACACTGTGAGGAAGGCTGGGCCCAGTGTGTGCAGGCCTTGGCTTTCTGCCTCTGTCTAGGGGAGGCCGCCTCTGGGCTCATTTGGGACTCTGTGCAGTCCCTCCTCCTCGCAGCTCCTCTTGACTCTGTGACAGATTTCTGGTGGCCTTTAGGGGGCCTTTTGCATGACACTGTCCCTGTTGGGTCCACATCTCCACTGCACTAGGACCGGCCCCTACCCCTTATCTTCCTGCTCTGCCAGCCTGGGGTCAGATGGAGGCCTGGCCTGCTGTGGCCTCCCGTGGACCCTGGGGCCAGCATGGGCAGCTGACCTGCCCCAGCCTTGTGCCCATGATGACCCACTGAGGGGACACGTCATTGTTCTGTTGTGAGCAGCCCTGAGACTTCTCCTGTAGAACCTGCTCCCAGGTACTGAGCAGAGCAGGGCCAAGGGGGGAGGCCCAGGCAAGTCCTATGGGAAACCGCCTCTCCTTGCCACCCACCTAATCCAAGTAAAACCAGACTGTACTGAATTACCAGGCTGCCTGGCAGAGAGTGGGGTCCAAAAGGCTCAGAGCGAGATCGGGTCTGCAGCCGCTGAGCCCTGACCCTCCAGCTCTGCCGTCCCTTCTGCCCTCTTCCCTCTTTCCCTCTCTCCTCTTCCCTCTCTGCCCCCTGCTTTTTGGGGTACTAGGGATTGAACTCAGGGGCACTCAACCACTGAGCCATACCCCCAGCCCTATTTTGTATTTTATTTAGAGACATGGTCTCTAAGACTGAGCTGCTTAGCCTTCTATTGCTGAGGCTGCCTTTAAACTCCTGATCCTCCTACCTCAGCCTCCGGGGTTGCTGAGGTTACAGATGTGCACCACCACACCCAGCCTTCCCTCTCCCCCTTTCTTCCTTCCTTTCCTCCTCCTTGCCCTCCATCCTCTTCCCTCCCACTCCTCACTGAAACCCACTTCCCCACTGTCCAGCTGGCCCCGAGGCTCCCCAGGCTTCCCCACCAAGCATGTCCCCTAGACCTGTTTGTTCAGCAGTACTCGACCAGCGCCTGCCCGGGACTGACAAGGTGGCAGGTGGTGGCTACCGAAAGCAAATGAGAACTTTCAGGGATAGCCTCTCTGCTCCGGGGAGGGACCTAGCAGTCAGGTGTAGATGGGGCCCCCCAGGATGGTTCTGCTGGTATAACACAGACTTCTGAGCCTCAGCTCTGCAGTCACACTCCACAGCCCGGGCGGGAGGGGGAGCAGGACCTATGTCTTCTAAGGAGCTATGGGGGGCGGGGCTTATGTGGTGGACTGGACGGATATTTGGGAACCATTCCTGTGGCCCTCAGGGCTGTGCACATGGCCATTCCCTCCAGAGTGTGCGGCCTCTTCTCTGTGGTTTTAAGGTCCCCGCTTGCCTTTGGGGTCAGGAAGTAGCCTTGGAAAAGGATCCTCCGACACTGCTGGTTGACCTTGGGCATTTTCAAACTCTAAGCGTAGGCCGTTGGGGAGATTTTGCTGTAACTCCTCAGAACTTACCAGTTAACACAGGGGCTCCCTGTCCCTCCGCTCTGCAGACGCCATCCTGCCCAAGATGCCCCTCACCCTCCCAGCAGAAGTGTCACTGCCTGCCTGCAGTCTCGGTGACCCGGCTCCGGCTCTCCAGGGCTGACCTTCCTGCAGTTCCCCCCAACCTGGGACACAGCTTCTTCTTTCTTTCTCTTTTCCTTTGAATCCTAAGTAGGAGAAGATGGCACATGTCACTGTCACCATTGGTTTCAAAGAACAGAAACTAACCTAATACTGTCCAAGTGGAAGAAGGACCTCAAGGTCACTCGGGACTCCTGTGCTCCAGGGGCCAGGAGCAGAGCCGCCTGCCGAGCAGATGGTGAGGCCAGGACACCAGGCGGCCACTCAACACATGGCCTGGCACCCTCCCTTCTCCACTGTGTGCCTGCTCCGCCCTTGGCTCAGCCACCCACTGCCCACCAGAGCTGCTCCAGAGCGGCAGCCGGAGCCCCCAGTGCGTGAGTCTGCCTGGTTCTGGCTCCGGGAGGAAGGGGATTCAGCTGACCTGGTTTGGGATCAGGGCTTATTTCTGATTGGGTTGCCTGAGACCAGGGGTGGGCTCATGGAGCGCCTCTCCAGGTTCTCTGAGGGGACCAGGCTGGAGGGAAGAGTGACCCGGAAGGCACTGCTATCCCTGCCGCAGTGACGGTGGCACGCTCTACCCGCTGGGGGCAGTGTCCTCTGTACAAAGGCACGCTTGGCGGGCAGTTTCTGGAAAAGCCTGGACAGCCCTCACAAAAAGAGGACAGAGGCACATGATTTATAGAGCGCCTGCTGTATGCCCCGGGCACACTGCACGACTTCTCTTGTTTGGCTCTGTGGAGGTGACCCAGGGTCTCCAGCACTGCAGTGGCTCTGCAGTCACAGTGTTCCGTGGCATTAGATTCCGAACATTGTGCTCCGCCATGAGCCCCCGCCTGCCTGTCACCTGGGAACAAGAGCTCTTCCAGGGTTGGAATGTGGTCATGAAGGTGAACACCAAAGTAGCCGTCCGAATGAGCAGGCAAGCGCCTGAGGCTGGGGCCCACGCTTCAGTTCAAGAGTGTCCTGCCCAGTGGCCTCCTGCTGGCCCCAGGGGAGCGTCCATGAGCCTCCCGCAGGAGATGCTGTTTCTGGCATTTGGCAGTGGAATTGCTAGCTCATCCGTGAGGCTTCCTGGAGAGTGCTGTCAAGCGTAAGGCCTGAAATCAAGACCTTAGAGGTTAGACAGGCCCTGAGCTCTTCTCCACGACTCAGAGCAGCCCACTTGGTTTTCCGGGGCCTCAGCTGTTGAGTGGAAATGGATCTGCCTTCTTCACAGGGTCGTGGAGGTGGTTACCTGGGGAGTGCACGGACACCGCCTTATACCTTGTGCTAAGATAGTAATTGCTTAATAAAGGGTTGCAACACTGATTCTTATAACATTATTACATTTATTATAGCTACTTAATTATGATATTATTTATCCTAATGTTATCATATTTACTTTTAGTGGCTTGAATTAAGGAAATATGTCTGGAGTTTCTCTTCTCTCTGTAGCACCAGAAAAATACCTTAGACATAGTAGATGCTGAGAATTTGTTTGCTGAAAAAAATTTATTACACAAGAATGCCTATAAATCTGGAAACCAAGGCAAGAAAACACGGCAATTGTAGATCCATGCTACCCTGCAATCCTGGAGAGACGCAATGTGGGGCATGGCCTGTGGGTGAATGGTGCATGGTCCCTGTACTGTTACTGCAGGACACATGTGAGGGCAGCGTGTCCGTCAGCTCCTGCACACAGGAACCTGTGCCATGTCACCACACATGATCTTTCATAGCATTGGTCTGTGACTTTACCTCCTTCCAGAAGAAGTGATTGAGAAGATGCATATATAAAAAAAATAAAATAACAATCTTGGTTTTCAGACATTTGAGGCCCCCGTAGGTGACCTTGCTGAGATCATCTTCCCACCATTTGTTCTCGATACCTGTGGGCCCCAGTGGCCTGATCTCTGAGGGCTCAGGGCAGGAGGACATGAGTGACAGTGGAAGTCACTGCTGTCCCTCAGCTTCTCTAAAACCCTTGAGACCGACTGTGGACCCCCATTCTGTCACTCCGCTGTCCCCAGAGTGCAGCGAAGGCCACTTTCCATGTGTGTAGACAGCACATGTGTGTGAGACCAGTCCCCGAGCAGTTGACCAGGGAGCTGGCCATCCCTGGCCCCTGCAGGGCCCCTTGCTTTCCTGCAGCCACCAGTAGCCTGATGGCTGGGTGCTGAGTGGAGGCCCCAGGAGAGGCTGGAGTAGAACCGGCACCTCCAGGGGCCTCTGGGTGGATGCTTCCCTGCATCAGCCGCTCTTAGCTTCTCTCTCTCCTGCAGGACGCCAGCCATGATCGGCTGTTCCTTCGTGGTCAACAGGAAGTTCTTTGGGGAAATCGGTCTTCTGGACCCCGGAATGGATGTGTACGGAGGAGAAAACATCGAGCTGGGAATCAAGGTTGGTGAGGTGGCGTCCCTCCCTCCTGACGTCTTCGTGGTGCTGTGCGGAGCTGCTGAGTCTCCTTGGCACCGTCGGTTATTCTCCTTGGCAAGCAGATGTGTGAGCAGGGTCCTCCGCCTTCTTGAATGGGGAAGGCTCCCCTTGCCCTCTCTGGGGGGTGGCCGGCTTGCTTAGGCCTGGTGGCCTCCTCTGGGTGTCACCCAGGGAGTTGGGTTCCCACTCATGCCCAGCTCTGCTCTGTCCTTAAGTTCGTCTTACAACTAAGCCATCTCCTTGAATACGATGTCCATGCCCAGGTAAACTCAGGATGCTGGAGGAGGGAAACACCACATCCTGGGTCTCCTGTTTCTCAGAAGCACTTCCCAGGGAGTCTGAAGGAGAACGGGGAGGGAGCCGAGTAGCTGTTACTGGCCGGTCATCCTCCCCAGTCATGGATTTTACTCACTGAGCTCTGTCGGAGCTTGTATTTGAAAAAGAGAGTTTCACTGTGAAATGGGAAAGTTGGAAGCCCCCAGTGCGTCCAGCCTCCAGTTGTAGAGTCAAGTGGGGACTCCTTAAGTGCTTGGTGACGAGTCCTTGGTGGACCATATTTTGGTCCAGCTCCTGAGCCTTGTCCTAGGGTTCTGCACTCTGTAGAGTCAGAGTCTTTAGCCAGAACCTCCTCAGTCAGGGGTCAGGGCCACGGGAGCCGCTCCCTCCAAGCCTAAGCCTGTTGCACAACTAACCAGGCTCCTCACCCCGCACCACGCCAGTGAGAATCCCGCCCACCCCTTCGCTTCCTCATGGTTTTCTGTGCACTGACCCCACCCTGCTCCCAGCTGTAAATTCACACTTGCTGTATTTGGAGCTGGGCCCAGTCTCTCCCGCTACAGAGTCACATTGCCATTGTCCCTGACTCTTGTGAGGGGCCTGGACGGAGTCTGCTTTGACGAGCTCAGCAAGTGTTATGGAGGGATTTTCTCTTCAATGCAGTAAACACTTTCCAGGAGACCCGCTTCTCCTGCCTGCGTGTCCACCGCCACGCTGGGAAGATGCTGGTGGAAAAGCCAGGCTTGGGTCTGTGCTGGCCCCCTCCACGCCCCGCCTGGAGGGCCCTGGGAGCAGGTGTATGGGGGACACCTCAGAGCGTGGTCAGAATGCTAATTTCCTCTGCATTTGTTCTAACTTCTTGGGTGCGTTTTCTTTTGTATTCAACCCCAGCACAAGCCCTGGGCAGAACCCACTCCTCAGGAATGCCCGCTCTTAGCGTCTGCTCCATTGGTTTACTCTTTGGTACCCAGCCCCTTTAGGACATCCCACTGTCCCCATCCACCCTCAGCTCTCTGTGGATTGAAAGACCCTGTGTCCTCATGATGTGCAGAACATCGGGGCTGTGTTAAATGAAGGGGGTGGCGGGGACCAATTTTAGGACCTGGATCCTAAAATTGCTCCCCTTTCAAGAGGGCAGGTTCTACTTCCCGGACTTTGATTTCCAGGCTAGGTTCTTCTCTGGGTGGACTTTGTGCAGGATTCTTCTAGAGCCCAGCAATTCAGAGGCCCACGAGCAGAGCTAGCCCTTGCCTGTCCATCTCTTCTGAGTGCAATTGCCGGACGGGACCTGGGTCCAGCGTGCTGACGCTCAGCCTCACCCTAACCCCACCCGCTCCTCTCTCCCTCCTCCGCCCATCTCCTGCCTTGGCACTTGGGCTCCTCATCCTGGGTTTGCTTATTGGTTAGTCCTCTCTTCCACGTCACTAGGTCTCAGATCAGTGGGGCACAGATCTTTCTCGCCCCAGGTGTGTAGGACCATGCCTGGTCTGTGGCCAGATCAGTGTTTGTGGATTAAAGATTGAACAAGTTCCCTGGAAACCTGGCAGGAATACAGGTAGTGGGGGATCGGGGCACCCACCAGCTCGGAAGGCAGCAAGGGCTAAGGCGAAGGCAGGACACACGGCCCGAGAGGAGGCAGCTCAGGGAACCCCATGTGGACGCACTTGAGCTTTCGTTTCTTTGCATTTTATCTTGAAGACTTGAGAAATTTGAGGATCTGGGTACCATGATAAGGGCATCAGGCCCTGGGAGAGAGAAAGGGCCAGAAGCTCAGGCCTGGGAGGGACGGGGTGGGGTGACGCCCTGCCCCACAGACATGCTAGCAGCGGGGCATCAGGGAGGACCCTCCAGAGCTGCTCTTCTCTGGGACAACAGAGGCTGTGACAGCAGCACTTACTGCTCACCAGAGAGAAGGAGCTCATTTCCCACACCCACAAACCCATCTGCTCTTCTTTCTTCTGCACTTGTAGGTTTATTTTTTGATTGTTTTTGTAGGTGTGGATGGACAGCATGCCTTTATGTTATTTGTGTATTTTCCTATGTGCTGAGGATCGAACCCAGTGCCTCCCATGTGCGAGGCAAGCACTCTGCCACAGCCCCAGCCCCAGCCCCCTGTAGATCTATCTCTAACAGCATTACTGCGCCTGCCAACACAGAACAATAACACGTCTTTAAGGTGCACAGCGGGATGTTCTGACACATGTACATTCTGAAATGATCACCCCACCGACCTCATCAACCTATCCACACCTCCTCCATGGTTGCCACTACCGGGGAATTTCATTTAAGATCCATCTTGTTATCAAATTAGAAGTATTCAGCTCAGTGTTCTTACCTGCCACCACCACCCAGTACTTTACGCCCCCAAGAATGACTCACCCTGCCTGCAGCGACCTGGAGGACAGGTCTAAAGATCTAAGGGAGGCCATTCTGCTTGGTGGTAGCTGTCCCCATCCCCAGAGGAGACGGGGACTCCTCAGTCCTGCCTCCAGCCCAACCCTGAACCCGAGGGCTTTGTCCCCAGTCCAGGGACCAGCCAGCCTCCATCCTACTCCTTGGGAGTACCACAGTGAACGGCCCAGGCCACGGCCCCAAGCTTCACATCTCCATGGCCGTCACCGCCCTGGGTGCCCCGCCACGTCTTCAGGAGAGTGTCTGCAGGGTCTGAGGCACAGTCCCCCCATGGAGTACCATCGCCTGCTTCTTGTGGCCCGCCCAGCACATGCAGCACACAGGCTAGAGACCTAGGAGGGATTTTGCCTCTCGCGTCCCACAGGCCACATAGTCCTACCACTGAGAGCTGACTTTTGGCAGAAGGCTTGTTTTTCAGCATTGTTAAAAAATTTTTATTGAGACTTAATTTTAATTGTACAGATTTCATGGGTGGCATGTGACACTTTGATGACAGGTACGCGTCATGTAATGATCAAGTCGGGACAATTAACATTTATCATTTCTTTGTGTCAAGAACCTTTGAATACCTCTCTTCCAATTATTCTGAAATGCATGAGAGAAGGGTGAGGGGAAGGAAGGGGAAGGTACTGGGGAATGACATCAGCCAAATGATATTCTTATAGCATGTGCTCATACAAATATGTAACAGGTGCCACCATACGTGCCACTATAGTGAACCAATGGACGTATGGAAAAAAGAAATACATAAGAGATTGCTATGAGCTGTAGTCGCCCTACTGTGCTGGGTAGAACACCAGAATGGTGTTCTGGGTAGAACACCTGCCTGTTAGGAGGAGAATTCTGAAATGTTGGTAAAATTCTGTAATGTTGGATTTCTACCCTGAGCAAATGAGGGGAATTTAGATGCTTTGTCTGTTACTGTTTTTTCCCCCTCAAAGCAAATTGCTAAATGAAGAATTCAGTCATTAGATTTTATGCTAATTTCTCTTACTTTAATTCAACATTTTATTATGGAAAACTTGAGACATACACAGAAATAGATTCAGCGTAGTGCATCCACGTGTGTTCATCATTCAAGTTCAACAAATGTCAACATTCTGCTGTTTGTTTTTTCAGTAACTGCTTCTCGACTCTTTCAAAGCAAATCCCCAGACATCATGTCATTCCAATTATAAATACTTAAGAATGCACTGCAAATATAGGAAGACTTTTTCAAACATAGGCTTTGCATAGTATTACCGTTAGCACAATTTAATATCCAATTCCTGTTCTCTCAGAAATATTTCTGTTGTTTTTCCTCAAAATACATATTCTTTACAGTTGGTACATTCAATTAAGAATTCAGGGAGGGATTCAAGATGGCAGGCTACAGGAAGGCTGCATTCCTGGTTGCTAGTGGCTCCGAACTCAGGCAGTGGGAGTATTGCTTCTCAGCGAAAGATGGATTTCAGTGAATTCTATACTGGACAGTCAGCACATCTTGGAGACTCAGAACTTTGTGCTCATTGAACAAAGAAGAAAGAGTACTTTGGACCCGAGTAGGTTGCAGCTGCAGTGGCAGCGCAGGTTTGCCACAGAGGGGAGGGAGAACACAGAAGCACAATGGACAGATGTGGACAGAAACATCTGGAATCAGGAAGGCAGCCTGGACTTAGCTGATCCAGAGGCTGCACAGAGAAGAGGTGTTTGCAAATGTTGTCTGTTTATCCACTGGCTGCAGAGAGCTGAGGCAGGAGCATCTGGAGGTGGCCACCCTGCAGCTGCTGTTGTGGAGCTGGGAGGTCATAGAAAACATGGTCACACTGTCCTGGCAAGTGCCTACTGTGTAGCTAAAGGAATAGGAGCAAAAGATGTACAGAGAATGTCATACCAGGGAGATTCAAGTTGGAAAAGCCAAGAGGATCCCAACTGGTTTTCCCTTTGAGTCTGGCAGCTCTCATGACCAGCTAAGGTGAGTGGGGAATCTGAACAGGCAGGTGTGAACGCTCAGGACTCAGCCTGGGAAGGCTGTGTTGGTGGGCAGCAGAAGGGGGAGGGATTGGCTCCCCTGCCCTTGGAGGAGAACTCCTGGGAGGCTCCAGACTCCCTGCAAAGATCAGCAATGGCCATGCTGTGGGGTGTGTTGATCTAATCTCTCCAGAGCAGAGACCACCTATAAGGCCCCTGCGACCAGATTAGACTTGAGCCTCCAGAACTCCCCTCATAGAACTCGGGAGTGCAAGGATCTGGTCTGTGAAGACAAAACTCCAACCGACAGCTCTTCCATCATACCT